AGGTAGATTTCATGAAGTTACTGGAAAACGTGCAGTTGAAGATAAAGATTTTGGACCTTTAGTTAAAACGAGCATGACAAGATGTATTCATTGTACACGTTGTGTTAGATTCGCTAATGAAGTTGCTGGAGTTCCTGAATTGGGTACAAGTGGTAGAGGCAGTGATATGCAGATTAGTACATATATTGAACGTACATTAAATTCAGAAATGTCTGGTAATGTCATTGATTTATGCCCTGTCGGTGCTTTAACCGCTAAACCGTATGCCTTCTCATATCGTCCATGGGAACTCAGAAGGACAGAATCAATTGATGTTTTGGACGCTATCGGTAGTAACATTAGAGTAGATTCAAGGGGAGTGGAGGTTATGAGAATCTTGCCTAAAATAAATGATCAAGTGAATGAAGAATGGATTTCTGATAAAACAAGGTTTGCTTTTGATGGACTTAAAAGGCAAAGACTCACTACACCATTGATTCGTCAAGACGATAAGTTTATAGCTGTTTCATGGGAACAAGCCTTGACACGTGTAGCCAATGAAATTCATAAGGTTAAAGGTTCTGAAACCAAAGCAATCGCTGGACAGCTTGCGGATACAGAGAGTTTGGTTGCCCTTAAAGATCTGTTTAATCGCATTGGTTCAGATAATTTTGCCATAGATACGACTAATGGATCTCAGGTACCCGCTCATGGTGCTGATATTAGGTCAAATTATCTTCTGAACAGCAAGATAGCGGGCATTGAAAAAGCCGATGTAGTGTTATTAGTAGGTACCAATCCACGTCATGAAGGTCCTATACTTAACACTAGGATTTTTAAGAGCTATCTTCATAATGGACTAGATGTTGGATTAATAGGATTCGCCGCCAATACTTCTTATGATTATGATCATATTGGCGATAATAGTGAAGCACTTGAAAGTATATTAAATGAGAATCATCCGTTTGCTAAAAGGATTGCTGAAGCTAAGAGACCATTGATTATAGTTGGTAGCGGTGTATTAGGTAATCCTGATTCCGAATACGTATTTTCTACTATAGCGAAAATAACGAACAAATATAAGAACTCCTTCTTCCAGGGTGATTGGAATGGATACAACGTGTTACAAATAGTCAGTATATCATTTGTTTATTGCATATTTATTGTTAGCTATTTCAATATCTTTATATATAAGTATTTATTATTTTTGTTATTATTACTATTATTATCATCATTTATCATTGATAGTCTGCAAGTCGGGCTGCAGCTTATGATATAGGGTTTATTCCATCACCAGAAACTTCAAATATTACACCTAGATTCATCTATTTATTGGGTGCGGATGAAATCGTCCCTCAAGATATTCCAAAGGATGCATTTGTGGTTTATCAGGGTCATCATGGTGATACTGGTGCATATTATGCTGACGTAATCCTCCCCGGAGCCGCTTATACAGAAAAGAGTGTGACATATGTAAACACCGAAGGTCGATCGCAATTGACACGCGCAGCAGTTCCTCCTCCAGGAGCTGCACGTGAGGATTGGAAGGTAGCATTGTGCCTTTTTTTCCCCACCTTTTTCTCTATTTATTTTGAAACCTAAAATTATATATATTTTTTTTTATTGGTTAGATCATTCGAGCGTTGTCAGAACTAGCAGGCGTTACATTACCATATGATGATCTACACTCTATTCGTGATCGTATGGGTGATATTGCACCGCATCTTACACGATATGATGTAGTTGAGAAAGTTGGTAATTCCGAATTAGGGCTTGCACGATTAGTGAAGAAATCCCCAAAGTCTTCAGGAGCGATATTCAAACCTATCATTCAAGACTATTATATGACTGACAGTATTTCACGGGCTAGCCAGACGATGGCCAAATGTAGTGGCGCTTTCACACACGATCCACTTAAACAATGATTAATGTTAAATTATTTATTTTATTATTATTATAACCGATTTTGCTATGGTGAAAAGTAGTTAGACACGTGACAATAATAAATGTGGTAAATCATGTATAAAAAAAGGAATTGAACAAAAATAGAAACAAACAAATGTACGAAATAAATTAAATGTAACAATGTACAAAACAAGTAATATGAGGAATTTGTTTCACTTTAAAAAAAAAAATTTGTTGGTTAGCCACGGGAAAATTCGTGGTGTGTAACTTTACAATTAAGTAAAAAATAACTTTATATTATTTAACAGAACCTTGAACGGGAAACAACAAATGGAACCGGAAGGAACCATATATAAATTAAATAAGGTTGCGGGTTTTCTTTTTTATTACGAACAATAATAATGGGTAGACTTGCTTAATAAGATTGCACAAACTCGGATCCCTTGAGGAAAAAAAAAATAATAATGAATGATGATGATTTTTATTCACCCAAAAAAAAAAGGGGGATGATGTTTAGATTACATTAACACCCTTTTAGATAATATCCATAACAAATTTCAAAAAAGGTAAATACTTTTCTTTCTTTGACACATGGAGGAAAGATTCATTGAAATTTTTTTTATACAATAATAAAGATTTAAGGGAGATCAGACCTCTTTCCACAATTCGAGTCAAAAGAGACATCAAGAAGACATGATAATATTGTCAAGTGAAAGTGAAACCCAAACCTTTCATTTTCAAAATAGTATAATGTGGCTTGCATAACAAGTCTTAAAGAAGGTTAGATCATTGTAAAAGCTTCATGACTATACCAATTTTGATATTATTGTTGATATGAAAAAAGCAAGCTTTACTGATCTGGTTTTTGTCTTATCGTTATTATCATAAAAATGATTGTTCTCCTTTTAATTCTAACCTTGGGTTACTTTCTTTTCTTGGTAACAATCATTTTTGGATACCCTATATATATAATATAATGGAACAGTTTAGAATTCGCCAATTCTTCCGACGGCAGATTTACGTTCGATCGTACAATTGTCCTAAAAAAGGAAATTCATACCCTATGGATGGGTTTTAAATAAGATTAATTCCTTCAATAGTTTATTTTTCTCGCAAATTAAGTTGAAAAGGTTGTGTACACAATCGACACGTTTTTTTATTATTATTTATTATTATGATTAAGAATAATATTATTTAATTTTTTTTTTTAAAAAAAAGCAACCTCTTTTTTTTTTACAATAAAACCATTTGATGTAACAATCGAATTCTAACATTATTATGTTTAGGAAATATGCTTAAACGCACGCATCGTGCATGTTTGAGATGCATAGTGTCAATCCAACATGAAAGTTCCATCACAGGGCTGTTCTGTCCTGGCGTTTTTCTTTCTTTCTTTCAATTTTAAATTAACATAATAACGGAAGATGTATCCGATAAAAAATTTACTAAAATCAATGATAATACATTAGTTACATTGGTTTACATTAGTCATTGTCCTAGGAAATGTTATCACCATACATAATCTATACATACGTTTAACCCTGCCTACCGAGTTCAATTGAGATATAATCTACAAACCGCAGAAGATTTGAAAGATTTCTTTGACGGGTAGCACAGGTTTGACTTTTTTTTTTGAAACGATGAAAAAAAAAAAAAAAAAAAACGCACACACCCTACTCCCGCGATCCTTTTCAATAATTATCAAGTCATGACAAAATGAGGTCCGGGAGCAAACAAAATCTTACACGTATCTTGCATCTAATCAGTCATATGAAAATAGATATTTCTTTTTTAGATGGATTAAATATAGGATTAGTTTTGTGCGACCACTTCTTTTGAACAAATTCATTTTAATTAACTATACTTGTTAGTAATTATACTTGGAATGAAATTAGGTGAAGGAAAAAAAATATATTTTTATTTATAGGATAAAACGTGGCAAAGTTGTATAATGACCAGAGTGGGTTTAAGGTAATGATTAAGTGTATCAGAAATATGTGATGCTTTGATTAAATACCATGTCTAGACAAGGTTTCAGGATAAACTAGTTTATTCCTTGTTTATTGTTTTATTATCTATTGTTTATGTGGTCTTATTTTTTTATTTTTTATTTTTATTTTTTAATGTATTGTAAATCCACTTCACTTGGCAACATCTCGGTGATAAATATTTCTCATTATTATGACCTTTTTTTTTTTCTGATGTTTCATAGTTACATTTCACATACTATCAGAATTATTTGATCAATTGAAATCTTCGCATCTTGCAAAAAGAACAAATTCTATTAACTGGGCAAATAAAAAAAAAATAAAAATAAAAATCCCTCGTTTTTTACCCGGTTATAATTTCTATAATGACATATAAAGTATTTCTATAATATATATTGGGCTAACGGGCACCTCCTCATACAATCTGAATGATGTTCAAGCAAAATCAATGGCCGAATATGTTTGTAACACGAGAAGTCGATGTAACATTTCTTATTTATGTTGTGCCAAATGAATCAATAGATAGTTGGTTCCCAATATATCGCACTATATCTTAATAAATTTATCCATTTGGTACTTACAATACCAACTTTTTTTTTATGTTATGTTTACATTACTTGTAAATGAAAAATAGGCTTTCAAATATATATATTTCCCTCCCCACATAATTTAAAACAATATATTTTCTTCTTTTGGTTTGATAAATATATAGCTAATCATCGTCCCTTTTTATTAAAATTTTTTCCGCCGAAATCATATAATAAATCAAAATAATTGTATAAATACATAGCCACACAATAATAATAAAAAAAAAAAGATATTTTTTCAGAAAATTATTATATATATATATATAGTTAACCTTTATTTTTTTTTCCTTGAACTGGAAAAAAGAAAAAAAAAAATAAACATAAACCAAATAAAACCACCAAAACAAAAATTTCCAAGGGACCAAAGTTTCTTTTAAAACTTTTATCCTTTCTTAAATTTTTCTCTTTCTTTTGAAAGGAAAGAAGAAAAAGGGAACGAAAAAAAAAAAAGACGAACTTGACACTTTAACCTAAACACGTTAAAACCACGTACTCCACCTTTTTTTTTTTTAGGTATTTGATAAAAAATAAAAAATAAAAAATGAAACCATTGGGTAAAAGCTCGGCTAATAATTCTACCAATGGAGCTCAAACGGAAAATGGTAACGGGGGAAGCGGAAAAAGCCTTTTATCAAAAGTAGTAAGTTTTCGTAATAAAAAAGACCGAAACAGCGTCGTCATGGATGATAATACAAATACAAAAGAGAAGGAGTCCAGCCATAGTAAAAGAAATAGTTTTATCAATAGCAGCAAGAAGAATTCTCGAAATAGTATCGTTGTGGATGAAGAACATCCAGAAACGTTTGATGAAAAGTTAGGTAAATCGGTCAAAGATTTAAGAGATTTAAGAGAAGAATTGGAGAAAACTAAATTAGAAAAGTCCAAAGTTGAAACTCGTAACCAAGATTTAATAAAAGAAATTGAAAAATTAAAGAGTGATCATCCTGCGAAATCACGTGACGTGCAAACCTCCGAACTTGACCAACAATTACGAGATGAATTAAAACAAAAAGATGAAAAAATTCAACAACTTGAATCAGACTTAAATATCTCCAAACAAGAAATCGGTAAATTATCTGATATTTCAAAGAGTGAAAATCTTGAATTTGAAAAGGTTAAGGTTGAACTTCAAGATCAAAAATCATTGGTGGAAAATTTTACCAAGGAACTTTCGGTTTGTAAACAAGAATTTGAAAAGGTTAAAAAAGATGCCCAAGAACAAACTCAGCAATCGGTTGAATCTGAAACTGAAAAATCTCGTGTAGCTTCGGAAGTTAGTAAGCATGAAATCAACCATCTTAAATCTGAATTGGATCAACGTGATTCCACCATACAACAATTAAAATCGGACTTGACCGCTAGTAAAAATGAAAATGAAAAACTTTCGGAATTTGAAAACATTAAATTAGCTTTAACATCGTCTCAACAAGAAACTGAAAATCTTAAAGCTAAGGTTGTTGACCAATCAAGTTTAATTGAAAAACTTCAAAAAGAATCTCAACAAAGAAGCGATGAAAATGAAAGACTTGTTAAAACTCTTAACCTTGTCAAAGAAGAAGTTTCTAAAGTTAAAAATGATAACGAAAATCAAATTAATCAAATTCAAATCGCTAATAATTTGAATTCTGATTTGAAAAGTCAAGTCGAGGATTTAACTAAACAAGTTGAAGATGCAAAGAAAGATACCGAAGTAGCGAGAAAAACAGCTGAAAATGCCAACCTGGAAGGCTCGGTTGATAAATCCGTTCAAGACCAATTAGAAAATTTTGAAAATGAAAATCTCTCAATGAAGTCTCAAATTGAAAAACTTAATGATGAACTTGCACAACGTGATTCTATTTTAAAATCGACAACTTCAGAAATACAAACTGTTTCAGAGCAGCGTAATGAAGTATTACGTGAAATTGATCTTATTAAATCCGAATTGCAAAGTGTGCAAGAATCAGTACGTAATCAAGATGATTTAGAAAATCAAAATGCCGATTTACGTTTACAACTTGAAACCAAAGAAAATACGATTCAACAACAAACAATTAATTTACTTGATATGATTCCAAAAGATCAATTTGGTTCCTTACAAAAAGCTCTCGAGCAAACTAAATCGGAACTGGATTCTACAATAAATGAATTACAATTTACTAAGTCGGAATTGGAATTGAAATGTCAAATTTTATCTTCGACTGATATCTCCTCTTTGGAAGAGTTAAAATCTCAATTATCTAACGTTAAAGCTCAATTGAAAGCTAATGATTGGGAAAAGAAGCGAAGTGAACGTTCTATCTTTGAATTAAAATCTCAAGTGGATGTTTTATCTCAAAATAAAGGTATGTGAAGAAATCGTTATCAAGTTTAAATTTTTTTTTGCTCATGAGAATTTCCTAACGTTCTTTTTCTTCTTTTAGATCAATGTCAACAACTTGGATTAGAAAATGTCAAATTACGACAACAACTCGAACAAATGAAGACTCAAGGTTTGTCTCATATTAATCAGATCCTCCCCAAAATAAAACTAAGCTAATTATTTTTTTTTTTAAAAAGTCCGTAATATGGAAAAACTGATGCAAGATAATGAGAGATTAAGATTCGATAACGACAAATTATTGGAATCTTCGAGAAAAACGCATGAATTAATAGAATTGAAGAATAAAGAATCTTCTTCTGCTCCTTCACCTACATCTCCAAAATCCTCTTCAAAGTCATTACCAAAGACGAATGGTGTGGTAGATTCCAAATCGAATGGTATTGGATTGGCAAAACTTGAACCTTCTCTTTTAGCTTCCTCCCCAACGAATACGATAAGCAACAAATCAAAACGTAATAATGTAGTTCAATCAAACGGAATCACATCCACACCTCAAGCCAACTTTGAATCAAGTGAAACTAACAATAGTATTAATCAACCTATACCAAGACCAAAGAAGGATAACGGAAATGGCGAATGGGTAACTGTCAAGAAGAGAAGCACGAAGGCAAGGAACAGCACGGTAATAGATTAATATAATTAATGATTATTTTGGAGAAAGGTGATTGATTAAATTGATCAGATTTTGATGATTTCTTGAATTTAATTAATTATATTCATTCCATCAAACAACATCATCATCACATCATCACACAACACATAATCTATCTTCCACCTCCCTTTACCTATTATATAATTCTCCCCACTCCTCTCTTTATATATTATAATAATTAAAGGCGACGAAGAACAACAACAACAACAACGCGATTGGAGAATCATCTAGAAATCATCAATCTTTTACCAAAGTATCCGGATGGATTTTATTTTTATTTAAGATTATTTTAATTACTTTATTTTTTATTACAATTGGTTATTCATTTAATTTATCTAATTTAACAGAAAGTACTAGCTTTTTTGATTTTTATAAACAATACCATATCGATATTTATTAAATATAATGTTATTTTATCTATTACTATTTTTTTAAAAAAAAATCTCTTTTTTTATTACCGCTTTGAGAACATGCTTTTTTTTTTAGTTTTAGTTTTCGGCATTATAAAAAAATTATATATATATATATATATTTTTTAGGTTTCTTTATAGACATTTTTTCTTTTTTGTGTATAGTGTAAATATTATATATGCATTCAATTTTTGTCTTTTTTTTTTGACTTTTTTTTGGGTTTGAGAATTCTTTTTTATTAAAAATATATATATATATATATTTTCTATTTACAATTATACAAATCAGATTTAATTCTTTTATTTGAAACAAAAAATCATTTTTATCATGTAATCTATTAAAATTATAAAAAAAATTTTATTTTAATTTATATAATAAATTTATTTTTTTTAAAATTCAAAAAAAAAATAGGTTTAAAATAACTAATAAAAAAAATCTTTAAGATTCGTTTAAATATTTTTAAAATTTTATCATATCAAACCCGATTGTTTTTTAGCCAGTGTTTATTTTTCAATATCCACAGAATATAATGAAGAAGCCAATAAAATGATATATTAGATCGGCTAATGATTTGATATAATATAAAGCATGACATAATAAGATTAATATGTTAATATTGTATTGGTTATAAGTTTTTATTGTGATTATGAATTTTATGAAATAATGTCAAATAATTATTATAATTATTACAAAAATTTATAAAATCAATATTCTAAAATAAAAAACGAGAATTAATAACTATTATTTTATTAAAAATTATCAGAGTATAATTAAAGGTCTTTAAAATATTATACAGTCAACTCTTTCTATAGCAAATTTTGATATAACGAATTTCACGATATAACAGATTTACAGTGTGATACAGATTTTTAAATATAGAAAAAACCTTTTTTTTTCTTTTTTTTTTCTTCTTGTTTTAACGATGCGGTACTGACAGCATATTTTATTAATTTATACAAAAAAACAATACCAAGAAAGTAAAATCAAAAACTAAAAGTAAATAGCCAACTACCTCCCGTAACTACTTTTAAAGTCTGTTTGAGTCGACCGAGCATCGCCACCCCCTTCAATAGACCCACTACACGTATGCATAATGACTACTATCATCAACAAGAGATGGAAATAAACTATGGTCAATACTATGTCGTTATCTCCTTTCTAAAGTAAATTCCCGAAAACTAAACAAAAAAGTAACCCTTCAAACTAATAGTGACATATTTTCCAAAGAAGTAACTATGCAACCTAGTGTTCTGCAAAAAATCCGATTCAATCCAAATCTGATCCAGATCCGACAGATCAGATCGAATCGGATTTATCGGATTTGAATCAAATTTGGATCCGGATTTTGATTTTATTCGATCCGTTGGATCCGGATCGGATTCGGATTTGGATTTGATTCAATTCGACGGATTTGGATTTGGATTCAGATTCAAACCGTCGGATTTGGATTTGGATTCAGATTCAGATTCAAACCGTCAGATTCGGATTTGGATTCAGATCTGATTTGTTGGATTTGAAATAAAAAATGCCGCCCCGAAAGACGGATGCGGCATTTATTAATAAAAAATTTAATTTTTATTAATTTTTTATATTAAAATGCCTCCCCGAAAGACGGTTGCGGCATTTATTAATAAAAAATTTAATTTTTATTAATTTTTTATATTAAAATTCCTCCCCGAAAGACGGTTGCGGCATTTATTAATAAAAATTTAATTTTTATTAATTTTTTATATTAAAATGCCGCCCCGAAAGTCGGACATAGCATTTATTAATAAAAAAATTAATTTTTATTAATTTTTTATATAAAATGCCACCCCGAAAGACGGAAGCGATTTTTATTAATAAAAATTTTAATTTTTTATATAAAAATGCCGCCCCGAAAGACAGATGCAGCATTTATTAATAAAAAATTTAATTTTTATTAATTTTTTATATTAAAATGCCATCCCGAAAGTCAGACGCGGCATTTATTAATAAAAAAATCAATTTTTATTAATTTTTTATATAAAATGCCGCCCGAAAGATGGATGCGGTATTTATTAATAAAAAAATTAATTTTTATTAATTTTTTATATAAAATGCTACCCCGAAAGACGGAAGCAGCATTTATTAATAAAAAATTTAATTTTTATTAATTTTTTATATTAAAATGCCGCCCCAAAAGTCAGACACAGCATTTATTAATAAAAAATCAATTTTTATTAATTTTTTATATAAAATGCCGCCCCAAAAGTTGGACGCGGCATTTATTATTAAATAAATTAATTTTTAATAATAAAATGCCGATCTAAATGTCAGAGGTGGATTTTTGTTAAAAAATTTTTTTTTGATCTGTCAGATATGGATATGGATTCGGATTTGTCAGATTCGGATACGGATTCAGATTTGAATTTGTCAGATTCAGATCGAATCGGATTCGGATTTGTCGAATTCAGATCGAATCAGATTCAAATTTTTCAGATTTTGCTCAAATCCAATCTGATCTGATCCGTACAGAACACTAATGCAACCCGATCATCTACGCTAAAAAAATTACAAAAAGAAACAACAAAAATATGACTCTATTAAGTTCTTAGCTAAGTTATCCAGTCAATTCCAAATTACAGCGACCATCCGACACAGGTGCGCTCATATCACTAAGTTCCAATAGAGGCTCTTCAGACTATCGCTTCCAATGCTAAGATGTCTGTCAATTCAAATTACAGCTGACCCCTGGCACAGGATGAGGCCCAAATCACACAGTCGGTCAAGTCTGGAAAATACTGCGTGAGATTCCGCAGTCTTCGATGTCAGAGATCTGCAAAAAAGAGTGTTGCCGTTTAGGAAGGAAATGGAATGTCATCACGCAGATTTGTGTATCCAAAGTATGTTGATTGTGATTGTCAGTTGGGATACCCCTTGATGCCCACTTTTATGGGCAAATAATTTTGAAAACGAAAAAATGAGAAAAAATATGCCATAGAGAGGTGAAGAAAAAATATTTTAACAAAAAACAACACAGTTTAGATTTCCACAGCAATTTTTATGTGGATAGGGGTTAGGGAAACAAAAAGAGGAAAATTTTTGAAAAGAGGGGTTTTTTATTTTGTTCACAGGCTAAGCCGCGGCTGCCTTTGAACAGACACTTTTTTAAAGTAAAAATTCTTGGATAAAATCCAACGAGGGAGAAAGAGTTTTTTTTCATAGAAAAAACCTTTTTATACTGAATTTATTAAACTAAAATTTAACGAATTTAAGTGTGTGAACATGCATTATATAAATGCCCCTTTGTATAATGCATTTATTTATAACGAAGATTTTTTTTAATACAACGAAGATTTACAAAATTAATTTTAATAGAAAAGATCATGAAA